TAAGAACAGCAAGTGTGAGGAGGAGGAAAATGCCTCTTCTTTAAAGAAACACAAGGTTAACCATTTCTAAGTGTACAGTACAGGAGTGTTAAGTGTATTCACCTGTTGCACAACCATTCTCCAGAACTCTCATCTTGCAGAACGGATCCTCTGTCCCCACTAAACACACTTCCTCTTCTTCCCTTACCTAGGCCCGGCAGCCATCATTCTGCTTTCTGATTTTGTGAATTTTATGACTCCAGGGACCTCCTATCAGTGGAATCACAGTAGTTGTGACTGGCATATTTCACTTGGCGTAACGTGCCCAAGATTCATCCTTGTTGTAGCAAGCTTTATAATTATCCTTTTGAAGGATGGATAATATTCTGTCATATGGCTATCCCACATTTCGTTTACGCATTCATCTGTTGTTGGAGTCATGGGTTATTCCCACCTGTTGGGTTTTGTGAATAGTGCTGGTGTGAGCACGGGCATATAAGCATCTCTTTGACACCCTTCTTTCAAGTCTTTTGGATCTATGCTCAGAAGTGGGAATGCTAGATCTCTTGCCCTGTTGTACTGCTTATAACTAGGCTATTTGTAATGAATAGGACCTTATTGTCTCACAGCTTTGGAGCCTGGGAAGTCTAAGACCCAGAGAGTGGCATCTGGTGAGAACCTTCTTCCCATGGCAGAATGTAGAAGGGCGAGAGAGAGAGTGAAAGTGAAAGAACCCCCTCCCATAATGACATTAATCTACTCACTCTACTTTGATGACCCAAGAACCTCTTATAAGACCCCATGTCCCACCACTGTTGTACTCTGACACGCTTTTTTTGGGGAAAAATTCAAACCATAGCACTGGATCAGAAGGTGATTCTGTTTTCAATTTTTAAAGGACTTGCCATACTGTTTTCCCATGGTAGGTATGCCATTTTACCTTGGCACTAAAAGTGGCTCCAATTTCCTCACATCCTGCCAGTACTTGTTGTTTTCTATTCAAATCTTTTTTTTTCTTTGTGGTCTCCATCTTGATGGATGTTAGAAAATATTACCTTGTGGCTTTGAAGATTTTACTTCTTTTGAGTTCAGAGGGAAGGTGGAAAGGATGGATGAAGAAGCAGAGGTATTCTGTAGTGAATATGGAGTAGTTCATAGCTAATCTCCACTTTTCAGCTGTTTTGGAGCAAGGCCATTAATGCAGAGAGGAGAGTATAGAGCAGGTGAAGGCTGGTGGACACTGGCAGGGGATTACAATAGGAGCGATTAAGAGTGTGACAGTGGGCCTAACCACAGAGATTACAAAGATAACTAAACAGAAGTGCAGGTCTGTCCAGGTCAGGTGGTTTGAATACAGAACTAACCCAATTCTCATTTTGTGCCTATCTCCAGAAGCCTAAGAAGTTGGGAAGAAGTAAGTAACAGTGGAGTTACCTGGATTGGTGCCTGAAACCCCCCACCCTTTGCTTATGATGGGGTGGGGAACTGCAATAGCTATGTTTGCTGTGAGCTCCTAGTGTAAATGGTTGTTAGAATTGTAGGAATAAAGAAATTGTGATACAGAGGTGCCACTCTTCTGAATAGGATGTGCCTAATCCTTGCCTTGTGATTAGAGATCAGGGGAAAGACCCTACATAGTGAACCTGCGATGGAAGCAGGTTTCCTTCTGCATAAGACAATGAGAAGGGAAGGTTTAAGCCAATGGTTCAAAACAGAGGAAAACAGGATAGAACAGAGATACCCAGAGCAGGGGCTCTCAAAGTGGGCACCAGGACCACCAATGCTAGTCTTACGTAGAAACTTGCTGGATCTCATCTAGAGGATCAGAGTTTCCAGGGGATCCTGATGCGTGAAGGTGTCCCATGAGAGCTTGGCAGGGGAAAGTGAGGGAGAAGGCCTGGCACAGAAGTGTTCTTGAAGTGAGAGCTGGAGAGGAGAAGCTGAGAGTAGAGACAAAAGCATGGGCAGCAGCTGCAGACCACAGAGTCACGGGGGTTGAAGACTGGGTGAAAGTCAGGCAGTGGGAGGGCAGAGCACACTGCTTCACTTGCTGGATTTGGAAGGATGAGTAGAACTCGTCAGACACAAATTTCCAGCGGAAACGATAATGCACGGCACCCTTACCTGGACTTCCAAGAACTGGACCATTGATAAATTATGAGACCTTGGGCGAGTAACTAAAAATTTAAGCTCGCATTTTCTTATAGGTAAAATGCAGATGACCTCACCCAACCTGTTTGGGTTGCTGTGGGAATTCAGTGAAATAATTCAAGTGAAGTGGCCAGTGCAGAGGCTGACATGTATTAAGAGTGGATATGATCAGCTGTTAATTATTGTTAATAGCACCAGCTGGGTTGGCAGTGGAAGGTAAGTGGGGGCAGGAGAAGAGGCCCCACAGATGCCTTTCCTAATGCAACTCTATTCACCCTGGTTGGACAGTCCACATTCATTGCTAATGAGTCCCCTTTTGGCTTTTGTCATTCGCCTAAAGTAGTTGGGGTGTTGTCTACATGTTCCTGATGTCTGCACTATCATAAAAGCATCTTTAGATTATAAGGGGTCAGGGTTTGCCTAATTAGGATTCCTCTCCTGTAGCCTAATACAGCCCGCATAGCTGCAGTCTTCAGAAGGTTCACCCAGGGAAACTGAGGCCAGCGTGTGTGTCTCATCCCACACAGATATAGCATTAAAACCATGAACAACACAACACATCTGCTTTCACATTTAGTCTCTTGGCAGCAGGGGAGACAGGTAGAGACAGGGGTTGCTGTCCCTAGGGATATGCTTAGTCCAGTGAAAGTTTCCCAGATGCACAGACAGGGGCAATTCAGGCTTGAATGTGGCCTCCCAAAGCTGAGCCCACCTGGGAGTGACCTGTGTGTACAGCTGGCTTCCTGCCTCCCTGCCAGAGAAGAGGCTGGCCTCCTGACCCACCGGTGTGTTATTTGTTATGTCTCTAAACAGTGCACTCAGACCCCGCTTCCTATGCAACGAAACTTCCTCCCCATCAGCTCCATGTTTCAGGACAAGAGGTGTGCATTTCTTCTTGCTCCGTCCCTCAATTATTCAGCTGTACTGATTGTAGCTGGAGAGGTAATGTAAGAAGGTTAAGTGGAATATTTTCTACGCCTGAGCTAAACAACTTGCTTCATTTGTTGGTCCTTCACCTGCTACCTGAAGAATCATTTTTCATTTTTGTGATCACAGCCTACAGCCCTCAGCCTGCGGGGGCAGAGACTGTATCTGCCGTGGTGCCTGTGAGTTGTTTCGGGCTTGGTATAATACGTGATAAGTGGTATGTAGGGAGGGAATCTATTTTACAATATGCTATCTTTATGTAACATAATAATGCTTCTTTGTGTTTCATGGTATAAGTAATTATAATTTTTAATGTCTCTATAATGGCATGGAATCAGAATTTATTAAAGGTTTCCTTATGTTTCTTTGGTTGCTTTTACTACTATCATAAAAACTTTCACACATATCTCATTTAGTTCCTTAGGATAAATTCCCAAGAATGGAATTACGTTCTTGTAATTCCAGCAAAGAGGGATGGATGACTTTAGGAGTTCAAGTGTGTTCTCTAAGGAGTGGGCACTCCTTGGTGGAGATAACTTGATATGTGCTTTCTCTGTGGAACAAATCGTGCATCTGTCTCTAGACTCTGAGTTAACCATGAGTGACAAACATGGCCAAATACTATCTGTGGTTTCAATCATCAACTGGGGTTCTTGAAATGTGTCCCTTAGGGATAGGGAAATACTGTGTTCCCTCAGGGAACTCTTTATCACCCAAGGACATTCAGAGAAGTTCTCTGGGATGCCACAGAGGCTCCCCATTGCCTCTGACACCATGGCCTGGTCAGCCTATGAACATGGAAACCACCAATCTCCCTTCTTGTCCAGGTTCAAGTTCTGCCCAGTTGCCTGTCACTGTTGGAAGCTGGGACCATGTTGTGGTACCAGGTAAAGAGATGGGGAGAAGAGGGAACAGGAGACCCTAAAGGTGGGCCTTTGACTTCACAATGTTGTTGAGGGTGCCCCTTTTCCAAGGCTCCATTTGCAGAGACAGCATTTTCTCCTCTGGTGGTCCTCATCCATCTACCTCCCCAGGCTGGTAGATTTTTGCCTGCCTGGATCTTGTATTTAGGAAAAGTTCCCCTGGAGAGGCTCTGTGATGAATGACCCTGCTGACAGATGTAGGGGTGTGTGTGTGTGTGCATTGGATTGGCAAGATGCAATTAGCTGGTGTGATTTTCTTCTTTCACTTGTGACTAACCTGAATGGAAACATTCAGGAACATTCAGGTTAGAGAGCCAGGGGGGCCATTCAGATTTCTCCTCTGAAAGCTAGCAAGGTGAGGAGCAGGAACTGAGAGAGGCCTCTGAGCTCAGGGATGCAGATTTGGTGGTGACACAGGCAGCAGACGACTTTCTTTTGGGTTGCTTAGATGGGTTCTGAGCCTGGCATTCAGGATCCACTACAACCTACACCATGTCCTGCTTTTTCAGCACATTGGCGCCAGCTTCTTTTTGAGATGTACAGTGACGCTTCAGATACACCACTAGAGGGCACCCAAGCTTGTGACCCTGTACGGTGGGCAGGCCAGTGGCTGTCCAGTGGGTGTCCAGAGCAGGCTCTGTGGAGTTGGTGGTTTCATGTCTAGGCAAGAATGCCCCAGAGTTCTCTGAGAAAATACAGCCACTTTCACCCCCTGGTTTGGCTTTTATTGCATTGTGGGATTCACCAGGACTAACCTAAGTAGTTTTTTACCCTATTTTCTGGATCCGATTGTAGGGGAAATATGGTCCTTTTGTTCCTGGGGACTTCCAAATGGAAAAAAATGTATCTTTTCCACTGAAAATGGATTCTTTGTGAATTGTATTTGGTTTCTTTGCTTATAGGCAAAAGGAAAGCAGGCTGATTTGGGTTTGAGTTTTGGCTCTTACTTTCTGGGCATGGGGTTGCCTAAGAATAAAATATGATCATGATATCACTAATACAGCACAGTTACTGGCACTTTCTATCTCATTTTTACTGCAAAGGGATCGAGGCTCTGTTTATTCACTTCTGTCCCCACTCCACTGTCACAGGATCTGGCACAATGATGTCCTCTGTACATGTTTTGAACAAATAAACAAACAAGTTCAGGTGCTGTGTACACTGATTTTAACCAACTATTTTCCTATTGCTGAAATACTAAATTTTGTGGAGCATTATAAACTCCTGTCCATATGGGCCCTTTGTTAGATCTGGGAAGGAGAAGAGAACCAACTTTGCAGCAGACATTTTCTCTAGAAGGGAGACCCAGGGTTCAAGAGGTATTGAAAGAGTATCGGTTTCCACGCATGGGATGGAAGTGCCTGGAGACAGAAAAAAGGAGTCAGAAAGGGGACACAAAGGACACTGAAGACACTGTTAGCTGCACACCATTTGACTTAGTTTTTTTTTTCTCCTTTAGGGTAGAATAAAGTCACAGAATTTAAATCTAGAAGCTTAAAGTGTTCTGGCTGGCGCCCACACCCAGTATAGGAGTGCCTATATCTCAGACAACAGGCATCCAAATCTCTACTTAGGCATTTTTAGGGACTGGGAGATCATGACTTGGGAATAAGCCCACTTCTGCACTGGACATGTCTAAGTGTCATCATTAATTCCGACATTTCTTGTGGCTGCTACTTCTGTCCTGGAGCTATATAGATTGAGTTTCCTCCCACTTTCAGGGCCACTTCTTCAAATTGCTAACAGCTGAATAAAAGAAATGAAAAAAAACCCCAAAAGACTCAAATTGCTAACAGCTACTCTCACATATTAACATTTTCTTCCCAAACTTTCACCACTACCTACTAACTGTTGTCACCTCTCTCAGCCCACTTGGCTGTCTGCAGACAAAAGCTGAGCAATGCCATGACTCAGCACTAGATGGCGTGATGGCCAACCCCTATAGGGTGTTCCAGGCACTAACAGGACTATCCCTGCTTATCCCAGGAAGCTGGCAATGGCAGCCCCACAGTGCCTCATAGACCTGTTTTCCTCAATGACCACCATAAGCTCACAGGCCTCATGTCCTGCTCTGTGTGCGAGTGACCAGGACACCTGGGATTTCCTGTCCCCTACCCTGCTCTCCTCCTCTTGATTGCAACAAAGCATTTTTCTACTGAAGAACCACTTCCCTGCTGGCCAACAAGCGGTTCTTGTGGGTTCTGCCCACCATGGTGGCCACTTAGGTAAGGTGAGAATGTTACTAGTGAGGCAAACAAGAGCAGGCGCCGAGGACCACGTCCACCTTGAGCTGCTGTCTGAGGTAGCTGAATCAGAGGACAGCAGAGTAGGGAGACCAAGGAGAGTTCCTGGAGACCTGATTTGAGTCCCATATCAGATCAGGACTAAAAGCAGAGCTCCACCCCACTGGACATCCAGTTACAGGAACAAATTCTTTCATTTGCTTAGTCTAATTTGAATTGGATTTCTAACATTTGAACCTGACACATCCTAATATAATCCCTCACCTGCCTGGACCTTCCACCCCTTCCTTCTGGGGGCACATTGTGCTGTTTGGAGTGTTTACTGGGGTCATCCCACTCTTGTAGTCTCACCCTCTTTCCTGAATATATGATCTACTTCCTTTCATTGGGTGAAATTTGGCTCTTTCTTCAGGACATTGGGTCTCTGACTCTTCCAGGATCTATGATTCTGTGACCATCATGAAGACTCCTCCTCATGAATATAGCATTTTTCAGCATTTGCCTTACAGTAATTTATAATAATAGAAAATAAGAGGAAAATCCAAACAACAGCTCATAAAAGTGGGCCATTTGTAATAATTAAAAATAATTTAAAAAAATTGTTAGTGATCTGGCTAAATAACTTAAATAATAAATAGTTTGTCTGTCTGTCTATCTATCTATCATCTAAAATTATCCAGAACAGCATAGAAGAAATTGAATGCTGTTAGCCTGTTGTATCCTCAGGTTCCAGATCTGTGGATTCAACTAACCTTGGATGAAAAATGCTTTGGGGGAAAAATCACATCTGTACTAAACTTGCGCATGCTTTTTTTCTTTTATTTATCATTTTTACATTTACTCACATGTGTGTGCATTGTTTGGGCCATCTCCCCCCTGGAGCCCCCACTTCTGGGCCAGGCTTTTTTTTCTTGTCTTATTCTCTAGGCAATATAGCACAAGTGTTTACCTAGCATTTAGAAAGTACTAGATAGTGTAAGAGATGATTGAAGTACCCTGACAGACGTGCTTAGGTTGTATCAAAACATGATGCCATTGTATGAAAGAGACACGAGTATCCACAGATTTGGGGACCTGCCGGGGAGGAATGATGTCCTGGAACCAACTCCCAATAGAAATGAAAGGCCAACTTTATACGAAAGTTTCAAGGTGGTGATTTTGGGGTGATAGGACTATTAGTCACTTTCCCATTCTTTTTATTGTCTCTATGTTGTAACATTTTTACAATGAGAACGTATTACAAGTACTGGATGCGGAAAACATTTTGAGCTGTCTGATACAGTAGTCAAAATCACATGCCTTATAAGTGTTTATGCCCTGTATCTGAACTCCATTGGAGAGATTTACTGCGAGGAAATAATTTAAGTTACGGAGTATGCTGCTATGCAAGTGTCAATGTAGCATCATTTATAATGGTGTAAAACTGGAATGAGTATAACAATATAGGAATGATGGTGAGCACATTGTCTAGTTAAAAAAATCAAAAGAAGACTTAAAATTATGTCTCTAAAGCCTGTTATGAGGCAAGCTTGTAAAGTAAGAAAGCAGAACAAAATTACCACTATGTTATCTTAAACACATAAAAAATAATGCATAAAATAATTTGGACTACAAAGGGTGGTTGTTTTGGGTGGTCAGATTTAGGGAACTTATAAAATATTATTTTAACTTTTCAATACTTTCAAATATAGTTGTTTGTTATTTATGTAAATAGGAACAAATGTTTGATTATTTGAAAATACAAAGTACTTGCTCTATGGGAGGGAAACTCACAATTGTGCCCATCTCTGTCTGGGGAGCCTCCTAGGGTTGGGTGGAGACAGAACTGATAAACTCTTGTCCTTAATCCAGGGCCCCAGGGCTCCACCCCCAGAGCAGGGGTTCCCCAACCCCATGCTACCCTCATCAGATAGAGCACACTGTCTTCCAGTGGACGCAGCCTGGACCTGAAAAGTCCAGCTGAGGTTGGGAGTCTTTCCCAGGGTTGCCTGGGAGCCCAGAGTTAGGGAGGGGGCTTCTGTCAGCTCACTTTTCCCCAGTGGGCCACACCACGAGCACACCTGTCCACTTCTGTCACTTCTGTCAGTGGCACTTTGACAGTGCTGACAGATGACAATAGCTTATAGCATCTTGTGTAGTGCCTGGCACATGGTGTGGACTTAACAAAGGTGTTTCTGAATAAATGAGCCAAGAAATAACAAAGGAATGGTTAATGACCCCACAAGCCTGTAAGCTTTGGTTCCTCCCTCTGTGAGAGGAACCTAGATGGACAGGAGAAGAGTGAAACATCCGTCGTAGGAGCCCTGCTTTCTAGAGCATTATATGGCAGGTGGGATGTACTCAGTCAAGGTCAGATGCCTGGGCTTAATCTCCCTAAACTCTTATGGGGTCTGAGAATGGGAGACACAGGCTTAGAACATCTCTTCAAGGTCTAGAAGCAAGGCTGTGCACATTTCTTAGAAAGGAGCACTTTGCAGCTAAGTTGTTGAAGTGCATTGTATAGTCTTCTGCCATGTGAAAGTACATGCCTGAGTCCAAGGGACAGCGGTCCTCACTGAGAGCTGGAAGCACTCACTGTCCTGGGGTGATCCCATGCTGACCCCTCAGGAAGCCACAGAGCAGAGGAAGCCAGCAGCTTCTCCACTCTCCCAGGCCTCTAAGATGGCTTTAAGACTATACTTCATGGTCAGCCCAGATCTAGTTTCCTTTGGGCACCAGTACCTGGCAACTGCCCTGGCCTTTCACTACTACCTCCAAAGCATCAGGAGTGCAATGGGCTGTGGTGGCTCAGGCAGGGGCCTCCAAACTGCATTAAACTCAGATCTTTGGTTAAGGAAAGCCTGAAGGGGGAGTGACCCAGCCAGAGGCTTACCACATGGCCCCACAGGATTTCCCAGGGGGACCCTCTGCCACTCTCACCAGCAGCCAGCATGGCTGCCCTGGGACCCAGCAGAGTCATTGTCCTACTGCACTTCTTCTTCAGGGAATCCTGAAGGCTTTGGGCCTTCCAGGTGGGAAAAGGACCCCTGGCAGAAGGTGCACAGGTCCTCAGAGTGACTCAGTGCCCTGTGGCCAACTGAGGACTGACCTGTCTATGGTTTCACCTTCTCAGAGAGGCAATTTTCAGCTGGCCTGCTCTGAATCCAGGGAAAGGCCTGATGTCCACCAATGAGCAGGTTCCAGGCTGTTAATTTAGAAGGGCTGCACTGGCTGGAGCATGCAGGACACACATACCCCCAAAACACATGGGGGTTCTATCACCTAGACACCCCCAAGAACTTCCTTGCTAACTTTGCAACTCTACATGAGGAGAGCTTAAAGGGTTTTATGTCATCTAGGCCACTGAATTTATGTGTCTAGAGTGGCTTTAATCTTATTAGCCTTTCCACGACTGTACAGTCTGTGGTGATGACCCTTCTTTTGCTCCTGATGCTGGTACTTTGTATTTTTATCTCTTTTGTCAGAATTGTTGGAAGTTTTTAAATTTTATTGTTCTTCTAAAGAAACAGCACCTTAATTGATTTTTGTTTAATTTCATTTATTTCTGCTATGAGTATATTTTACCTTTTTTTCTGTTCCTGAGTTGGAGGGTTAGATTGATTTGAGATTTTGTTTCCTTCTGAGACAGGACAAATCAGGGAAATTGAGGCATGGGAAACAGTAACCAGGAATTTATGAATAAGTATTACACTAACGAATAGCTCAATTAAAACACATAGGTACTACTTTCTTTGCTTTATACTCCCTCAACAAACTGCAACATTTACTAAGAAGAAAAGAAAGGGAAAAGAGCAGCCCTCCCCACTCTCCTGACCTTGCCGCTTGCCCAAAAATAATTAGTGCACCTGAGAACTAGAGTATCTTAAAGAAAAACTCTTATCCTGGGAAAGAACCCTTGGGAAAATGACTACTCTGGGCAAAAAAAGTTTCTACAAGATAAAATACTTATGGTAAAGTCAGACACCTGTTTGGAAGGGAGCATCTGGCAACTTTGTTTAAGAGGATGTTCAAGTATCAATGTCATAGTGAGCCAAATGTAATGAGCGAGACTACTTTGAAATCACTGGGCCCAATTGATAAGACAGATGAACAGCAAAAACAACTAAGTATACCAGGTGTCAGAACAAAGAGGAGCACTCTTTCCTGAGGCAAACTTGAGCCAAACCCCTAACCTACTTTTTCACCATAAATACCCCTGACATTAGAGTACTTGTTGCATCTGGTATGAGATGTGCCCACACCCGTGTCTGGGTTGTGCCCTATGTTTCCATCTTTGGTTTGCTTTGCTTTGCTAATAAACTGTGACGAGAGCCAGTGACACTAACAATCTTCTCCAGATGGGCAGCATTTATAGTTTATCAAGCATCTTTGCAGACACATTTCTCACTTGAACCTTGCCACAACCAGAAGGGACAAGCTAAGCTGACATTTCCATTTCATAGATGAGGAAACTGAAGTCCAGAAAAGAACCACAGCTTGTGAAGGCAGTCATAAAGCTAGAACTCAGACCCAAGATTTGTGGACTCCAGAGCCATGGTCCTTCCTGTCACAGGCCTCATCTTTATTTTGCCTCTGTTCAATGACACATCCTTCTGGTTTAGCAATCTCACCACTTCTTTATCACCTCACACTTTTGATAAGAGAAGCCTAGATTCACAAGAGTGAGAGTGATTCACAGGATTGATACCTGGCAGTTGACCCACTTCGGGAGTCAGGAGACCTCACTTGTCAGCTGAGACTACATTGCAAGCGCCCATTTTCTGAGCTAAGCTAGACCTGAGTACCTTGGTTGTGACACGTGAGGGAGATTTTCTCAAAGCACTTGGCAACCGGCCTATCTCTTTGCCATTATTTTCTGCCAGAGGTGACAGGGGAAGTCTCCTCAGTTTTGTCAACAGTGCTCAGCTTGGCGGCCTGCACAGGTCCCACACTGCAGCGGGCCCCACCCAGCTGCTGGCATGGCCCTTCTTCTCTCCAGGCCCAGCTGAACCTTGGCGAGCCTCTGAGTCCTCTGAGCGTCTTGCTGGGACTGGTCATGAGTCAGGAACATGCTGGAGGGGCCAGCTGCCCATGGAGTGTCAACTTGCAGGCGGGGTGTGTGGCCAGGGGCAGTACACAGGTGAAGCAGGTCGACATGGACACAAACTGCTACCTGCCTCAGAGTTTTCTAAAGTGGTAGCGAGCTGCAGGAGGATATGTGTGAAAAACAGGAGGGCCCCCATGTTGCCTTGGAGATGGGTGGGGTTCACAGGTTAATTACAGGTGTGTGGCCCAAGATCTTCTACATGGCTTCACTTCCCTCCTTCCACCTCCCCTTCTCCACCAGAACTTACTGTAGTCCTGTGATGCTTTTCTCCCTCAGGGGCAGCAGTGAGGGACCAGTGTTTTGTCCTTTACTCCATCTTACTATTATGTTTCTTCTCCTGACCCATCTTACAGTTGAAGAAATTGAGGTTTAGAAAAGTCAAAAAGTCTAAGGTCACTCAATTGGTAAGTGACTGCTCAGAGCCATGAACCCTCACACAGACCTGCCCAATCTTGATCTCTCTTGACATCTTCTCTGTATCCAAAGTCCACCAGTCCCTCATTCAGTCCTCTGAATCAGCAGATGTCCTCGGAATCCCTCTGTGGGCCTGGCGACCTGCATGTCACCACACAAAACAAGGCCAAGTCATAGCCCTAACCAAATCCCTTCCCTTCTCTGGGTCTCAGTCGTCTTATTTGCAAAATAAGAGACTTGTCCTAGAAGATCACATATATAAAATCCTACTTGTTTGTGATCCAGTAAGCATTCCCTACCTAATGGAAAAGTGGGGAAACTGAGGCCCAGGGATTAGGACTGTCCCAGAAAGTAGCTAGTGTGTGGTCAGAAAAGAAAATCAACCCGAGATTTGACTCTTAGAACAAAATTGTTTTGTTACTAAGAATAGGACTCCGAACCCAAAATGAGCACCCGTGGGGCCCTGGGAGAGGGGTGGAGACTCTTTTCTGTCTAATCCTTTGGTGTCTGACCAAGTGCTAAGATGGGCATCCTGGGTGGGTTTCCTCTTAGTTCTTGGGTGAGCTGGGAAAATAAGCTGCTTGCTTCCAGCCGTTTGTTTCCAGGTTACTGCAGGGTTCTCTGAGAGCAACAAGGCTCCAAATGAGTCATTTTACCCAAGCCACCTTCCCTTGAAATAAGAGATGGCATCTGAGGTCTGAGAAGTGACTGAGAGACTCAGGCCTAGAAGCCTGACTTACCCTGCAGGCTGTCCTTGCCTGGGCACAGAAGCACACAGCCCACATAGTGTCCTAAAAAAGGAAGTGTCTGTGTTGGCGATGGAGGAAAGACAGGAAGAGTAGAAGAGATCCAGGGAGCATGTTGACACTACTTTGCTGCAAAGTCTTTTTCTAAGCCATGCTATCTGCTTTTTCCAGGCTGATACAGGAGCATGTTTTGACATTGGATGAGTCACCTGCCCTTCTAACCAGGTCTCGTGACCACTGATTATGGTGGACTTTAAATGTGTACAGCATAATACCACTTATATGACATTTCACAAACACTGCCTTGATTTGTATATAATTACCACTTGCATATAATTAAAGTGACATAGGATTCACTTCCTGGATTTCATAGAGAGGGACACTGGAATTCAAGGAACTGAATTTCATCTGGTATAATATGGAAACCCATCTCTCTCTCCACTAAACCTCATCTCTCGTAGTTTAGGAGAAAAATGATAGGAAGGTGGACGGCACTCACTTTGTCGCTTATAAGAATATGAATTTTCATTCATGAGCTGCTTTCAACCTTTAGAAAGTTTAAAAACCTTCCCAAGCCTCATGTCATCCCTGTGAGCTGCGATAGGAAGGGCCAGTGGTGTAGCAGGAATGGCTGCTCTCTCTTGAGCCCCTGCTCTGCCAGGCACTTTGTCTACGGTTACTCCCCTAATCCCTGCCTGCAGGTGATAGGAGTTGCCCAAATTCACTCTGTTCCTAAGCCAGAACCAGGATTTCCAAGCAGGTCTGCCTGTTCCCAGCAGCTATACCCCTTAATAGTGATGGCAGAACAGGATTCAGACTCAGACCTTCATCATCAGCCTAGCACCTTCTTTTTTGCCAGGGTATGGAATATGGCTCCTGAGTCAGAAAGTTATCTTTGAACTTTCTCTAAAAAATAAAAAAAGACATTTGTAAATGTTTTAGGTCTAAATGTGCAAGTAGTAAGAAAATCCATGTTTTGCTTATTATTTTTCTCCCAGAAGGAGTTAGTATGTAAGTGTCTGCCTTGAAGTATTTATTGGATGTATTTGTGCTTTTTGTGTGATTGTTATTCACAAAGATAATGTTTGTTACACATATTAATTTATTGAAATTATCTCTGTACAAATTACTATTTGTAATAATGACTGCTTGAACTGTAATCTGTTGATAAACACAGGTTTGAACAATATAATCTAAAAACCTAACTGTCATAGGCTAAGGTGCAGGTCAGGGTGCACCTGCTTTCCAGAGTAGCCACCAAACTCTTCATTGGAGTTCTTTATTAGTCAGTTAAGTGACAGAATAGGGAGAATCCCTGAACACTCAGAACATGGCTTCAACTGTTTTCCTGGTAACAGCATCATCCAGTTTTGTCAGAGCCCCATAGCGAGATGAGAGCATTGGCTGTCACACCCTCTGAAGTATGACATACATGGAACAGAGGCACAAAAGCAAAACACAGAATGCAAATCACGACCTTGTTTTCATTTATTAACAATGACTGCAGTTGGAAAGAGCAGTGGGACAGAATCAGTGAAATGTGAGGCTTGAACTGATTTTGAAAGAAAAAGCCTTAAGTCAGTTAAGAGAACGCACCTTGCAAGTGCAGGTGGAGCTGTGGGATTCTTCAGAGGCTGCACAAGGGCCTTGCCGGGAGCAGCTTGGATCCTGGGCAAGCCCCATCATCCCTCCTGTATGCTGCCTTCATGGTAGGACATCAGTTGGCACCGCCAGAGGCATTTACAAAAGGCCGAGCTGCTGCTGCTTGTACATTGGCATTAAGGTGCCCTGAGAATGCCCAGGTGGGTATGGGATAGGGTTCAAAGCTTCCTGCATTCTTAGGCAAAGGACCCCACAGCACACTATTCCCAGCCCAGGCTGAAAATTCAGACTCACTTAGAGTACAGTTTATGTGTGTATTTGGGGTGGTGCTCACCAGGAATGAGTGCACTCGTGGACTATATGATATCATTTGGTTCAGAATCTGTCACCTGACCTTCTCTGATAACCACTCTGGATCCAGGGACCCTGAGACCAAGTGCTCTATTGTTTGCTCCATGCTAGGCCCACTGGGGTGTGCCCTAAACCTCAATCCATCCACAAAGCCCAGCAGGTACCAATGGAAGGACATGGTAGAGTCTCAGTGGCAACACACAGGGGAAACCTAGGAAGCTGGGGACACATTTTCAGCACTGCTTCCATGTTCTTGCCTTGAGAAACCCCTTGTCCAAAAACAGGTGAGTGACTCCTTCAAATGCACTCAGGACTCAGCTAGTGTTTCCACAACCACATGGAACATTTTAATGGTGACAAGCCCCTGGTACTTTTTGTGTTCCTTTCTACGTGGGAAGGAAAAAAAAAGATCCCTAAAGTCCATTTTATTCTGAGGCCAATGGATGGATCTGTGAATGTCTTCTGAGGCTCTGTCAGCTTGTGGAACGGCTGGCTGTGGGTGACAGCCACACAGAGCCAGTTATACTTAAGAGCAGGTCACCTCATTTCTACACACAGGGACAGGGCAGAGCAAGCTGACCTAGTCTCGAGCCTCACTGTGGGACATGCTGAGCTGGGCAGTATTTTTTTTAATCTGCAGATCTGATGGTGGTAGCAATTGCCCTGACATCCAGGTCCAAATGGCCTAACTAGCAACAACCTGCTGTGCTATCAGGCAGAGGTGCTGGGAGCTCACCTTCCATGACCAGGGGACTCTTCTCACTCTTGTACCACCTGCCTCTTGCTAGAGGGGCACTGGCCAGGGAAGGCACCATGTCATAGGCAGGGAGTGAAGCAGGGACTCTTGGCTTTGACTTCTAAGCCATGGCTTTGCCCAATGCGCTGCCCACTTGCCCTGCTGTCTATCTCATCAAATTCAAGTGCTTTATCTAGAACACACTTTTCTGACATTCTCTGTTTCTTTTTCTTCCCCTACTACCTGTTATTGTTTTTGGGTTTTTTTTTTTTTTTTTTTTTTGGCTCCAGACATACTCAGGGAAGTTGATCTGATCAGGGGCCCAAGACGTTTGGCCTGCTATCACTTGTAGACACATAGGCATCCAGGGCCCACGCCTCCCTAGCAGCTGGCCTCTGGAGACCAAAGATGGTGCTCATCACAATCTGGGGCTGCCCAGCTGCCTGTGGGCCACAGCTGATGGCTGGCCTCCCACCCTACACTGGGGGTGCCTAGGAGGGGCTAGCATCCCTGCCCTCATGCTAACACAGGAGACCCCTGTGGCCTGATTCTTCTGTCCTCCTGGGGCTTTTTGCTGCTCTTTAGTCTGCAGGGAGAGTAGAGGCTCCCTGACTATGCCTGGTGTGATGTCCGTTTACAGCCTCCAGACTTAGGGTTGAACCTAAGGTGGGCATCTCTGATGATGACTGAAACCTAGGTCTGCTTTTTTTTTTTTAAGGCAGGCCAGAAAAAACATCTAGAGTCAGAGAGTTTCCTGCTCACCTGCCATGCCTTAGTTTCTCTATCTGAACCACCTTTATAAAAACAACTTATAGTTTTCAGAGTAGGAAATTTGGAAAAACCTGAAAAATATTTAAAAAAAATCCACATTCATTTTGCTTTTCTCATATATCTTTTATGTAACTGATTTGTAGTATATATATACAATTATGTCTTCTGCTTTTAAACAAGTCTTCCCTTATTGTAAAATGGGAAGGAAAACTGACATTTTATTGCTCCATTGAGAAATAACAATATTAACATTTTGATGCATGTCTTTCTGGTCTTTTTAACAAGTACACTTAGTCTACCAAAAGAAAAAAAAAAAGCCCAGTACTGATTCATACTTTACACACATTCCTTTTTCACATGAACAATTTTTACATCAATAAATATTCTTTTCCCTCATTTATGATACAGCAATGTATAGTTGTCATACATCAGATTTAACCAATCTAGTGTCCTTACACCTCTGGTTTGGTTCTAATTTGCCCCATCCTAAATAAGACTAATTGTAGCTACCTCCTGGCATTCCTCCCGCCCTGCTTTAAGAGCTCCGAATCCCCCAGGAGTGGCACCCTCAAAGGTCACGGAGACATTGCGCTGGCAAGAAAGTGCTTGGAAAAGTGCACATTGCTGTGTACAGCGGAGGGGTTTGCATTGTTAGTTAATCCAGAGACTCAGCGGTCTTAGTAAAATGAGGCAGTACTAGCAAAGGATAATAAGAGCAAATGCATGGTGTTTTGTGCCAGGCACTGTTCAAAGTGCTTTGTATTATTATCTTTAATAGAGTATTTTTAGGTTTATAGCAAAATTGAGAAGGTACAGAGATATTCCATGAACTCCCTTTCCTTCATACACACAGCCTCCACTCTGTCAACATCCCCTGCCAGAGAAGAATCTAATGGATTCCTCATTGTCACCCAGAGTCCACAGTTTACATTAGGGGTCATTCTTGGTGTTACATGTTTTATGGGTTTCGACAATTTATAGTGACATGTATCCACTGTTCCAGTTTGTAGGCAGTTTTCCTGCCCTAAAATCCTCTCTGCTCTGCGCATATGCCCCTCCCTCCCTGGCAACGCCTGGAAGTCACCTTCTACTCTATTGTTTGGCCTTTTTCTAGAATGTCTTGTACCTGGAATTATATGGTATGTACACTTTTCAGATTGGCCTCTTTCACTTAATCATATGCATTTAAGTTTCCTCCATACCTTTTCATGGCTTGGTAGCTCACTTATTTTTAAAACTAAATAATATTCCATTGTTTAGATGTACCATTGCTTCATGCTGGTGAATATTCAATTCATTCAACAATCCAATGAGGTAAGCAAGATTAATCAATTTAGCTTTTAGATGAGAAAACAGGCACAGAGAAGTTAGCCATTTCCCTGAAGGTCAAGTGCAGATTTTAACCTGTCTAGCTTCAGAGTTTATGCCTCTCTTAAGAAGTTCCCAAGGGCAGGTTCCTGGAAATGGGAGAGGGGTTGCAGTAGATAGGGTGAGTGTGAAGCAAGATTTCAGAGTCCTGTGGACTGGTGGTGTCACAGGGACTGGCAGGCATGTCTTAGTTCAGCAGCTTTGAGGAGCTGCATCAAAGTCCAGGGCACTTCACTACAAGCATGCAAGCAATTATTTAAAAAGAAGAC